GCAGGAGCCCTGTGTTATAGGTAGGATTAGATGTAATCAAGAAGATGACAACAAGCATTAGAATAAAACATAGAGATAAGGGACACTCTATTGGAAGGGGAAAAGTGGCAGAAATCACTTACAACAAATTGCAAGTCCCACTAACAAGAATATTCAGCACCAATGAAGGTTTTAAAGTAATCTGTAAAGATGACTTTGATTCAGATAAAATCCTTTCAAAAGAAGCCAGAGATATATTTTACAATGAAGGCCTTGTTGTTGTCATGCCACCAGAACAAAAAGCAAAAAGATCAGTTTTCGTTCGTCAAGTCGACCAAGAGATCGGGAGGAAGACATCTAATGACCTGAAAGATGAACTGGAACGCCAAAACAGGTGGATGAAGATTGAAGAAGTCATTAAGATAAAAGACTATACTCATTAGGGTGTGTCATACGGAGGCGAATTTTTTTTTTTTGAGTTTGAAAAATCGGCCCATGGTATTAATGATGTAGTTCTATGTGCAGAATCATGTGATATCTTCAGATTTGAAAAGTTTTCATTTTTTGCTAGGTAAATTTTAACTTGAAATCTTATGAAAATTCAGTATTCCCACCCTTTTACCAACACCACTAAATAGCTTATTTAAAGTAAAGTAAATGTATCAGGTTAATTTATTAGGATGAAAATGATCCAGAATAGTGAAACGAATGATCTTGACACATTTATTAAATTAATATTCCTTTAGAAAACAAAATCATCAAATACAAAAACCGGTTTTACTACTACGACCCGGTGTTGCTGCACACCATAGAGAACATGTCTTTCTTGCTTTTGTTTCTACTCATCACCTCCCTGCTGACCACCTGAGCTCGGATGTAGCCTTCCCTCCTCTCCTGTCTGTACACGTGACTGCTGGCCTCGCTCACTTGCTGTACACAACGCTCTATACTCTGGGTGTGCGAGGGCCAGGCAGGGACATGCATGGGGTTGTCCAGGAAAGCTCTGACTTGAACATTGGTGAGGCTGCAGGTAAGAGGGGGCTCACTGCCAGCCTGGATGTTATCCAGATATATGAGATCAGTGAGGGTCTTGGCACCTAGATTGACTTCAGTATGTGCAAGCTCAACGAGTGGAGGGCCAACTGTGATTTTTTCAAAGCTCGGATTTATTTATAACTCAGTGGCAGAGTCCAGCATCTTGCCAAGAGGACCAGACCATCTGTTGTTTGAAAGAGTCTTGCCATCCAGCTCCTGGATCAGATGTCTGAGGGGCAACTCGTTGGTGTGGAGGTCACAAACAATCCAGACCAGCTTCCTCCCAATCTTCCGCTCTATCCACTGTATGACCCCCCCTTGCCACCCTGTGTTCGTGTTGGTGCTGTCCCCTCCAATGGCCTGCAGGGTCTGGTCTACGTTCCTCTCTCTGAGCCAGTTCACAATGTTATCTGCCACTATCTCAGCTGGTTTCCTGATGTCATATTTCTCTGGAGTGAAATGCTACAAATACTTCCCTCCTGGTTCACTGCAGCAGGAGTAGTGTTCCTCCTTCACCATGGCAGGGAACAACTTGTCAGAATCTCCAACTTTCATGAACACTTTAGTGTCATCCCTTCTCCCATCAAAGAGCAAACAATTGATTCCATTTTCTCTTATCCCCTTATCAAACTCCTCTTCTAGGTTACTGACAAGTTTCTCCTGAGCTCTCCTTACTTTGTTATGATCTATCACCAGGTGAACATCATCAGGTGTTATCAAATCACCGTCAATCCAGGCAGCTGTTGCTATCTCTGCAGTTTCTCTGAGACCAGTGTGGTGTCGCATGCTGGCCAGAGCTATGCTCGGGATATCTTTCCTATTTCGAATCTTATGCCTGGAAGGTTTGGGATCATTATTTTCTGGGTTAGGGACAAAGTCACCATTCTCCTGGTCAGCACTCGGATCAGCCATGGGGAAGTCATTAAACTCTGAATCAGCTTGACTCCAATCATCGGCCTTTTTACCCTCACCCTGGGCCTTCTCAAGTCTCTTTTCCTCGGCAACTCTTCTCCTCTTCTGTCTCTGTGGCAGCCTCCTGTCTCTTGGACTCCGGAATATCTTGGCTAGAAATCATGAGAGCCCCTATACTGCCAGTCTCTCTCTGTGCTTTGACAAATGCCAGTTCGATCACAGGAATCTTCAGTTCACGCTTGCAAATACAGGAGATGTGGGCCTCGGATTTACAGTCACGATCGCATCCAAACTCAGGACAGAGAACAATTGGGCACTTGCAAGTAATTATGTCAAATAACTGGTCCAGTTGTTTGGCAAAGCTGTCCTTAACTGCAAGTTTTCCTCTCCCAAGAGAGATATCTCTTGCCTTTTCCCAACTGGCTAGCAGTCTCTCACTAATCTTCTTCTGACTTGTTATGACTGGAGGCTTGAACTGAGCGTTAGCCAGAGTGTACTGTGCCAAGTTAGCCAGAGTACTGTGCTACACAGCTTTGGTCATATCACTGGCAATGTCTTTGTTTGTAAGTTATTTGGTTCTTTTCACTGATTTGCCTGATTAAAAACACCGTATCTCAAAGCATTTCTCAATGTAGGCAACTCCGACTTCAGGAGCTCTCTCCCAGACCCAAGATAGTGACTGAGATGGCTGGATTTTTGGTTCCTCGTCCTGACACAAGCAGCCATCGCAAATATTATCAACTTATAAATGCATCAGAATCTGAAACAGAAAAAATATTGTTAGTTGGGTTGTTAAAGAATGAAGTCAGAAAGCAATGTTCACTATTTAATTGTAATGCACTAATGCAGCTGTACGTTAGATTTTCGATAAATTTCACGCTAAAATTTACCTAGCAAAAGGTTGCAAAATATTAAAACTGAAATTATTTTCTGTTTATATACACTAAAATCTACCAAAAAAGTGATGGGCCATTAGTTTTAGCTGATCTTCCCTCCTATGACACACCACCTAACACTT